ATGCTTCCTTATTACTTTTTCCTTTCTTCAAGATTTTATCCACTTTGGCTTCCTCATGAACACATTTTTTCCATTTCAATTTTTTTTCTAGCTATTGTTGTTTATGGCAATGATGATGATGATGTTGAATGTGAAGAGTTCTGTCAGGGAAAGGTGGGTGGGGCATCTGTGAGCTATTAGCTTACTAAGAAACTGTGCTGCCAACCAGTGGAACCATAGCTGCCCTGCCACAATACAATTTCTTTTGTCTTCTTCAGCATTTTCTACTCTTTCACTTTCATTCTTCCTCATTCAGATTTTTTTTTTCTGCTATTCAATAAGTTTTTCTTCTTCATCTTCTTGTTCCTGTCTCGGTCCACTGACGACTTTTTTCTTGCTCTCTTCTTTTTGTTTTTGTCTTCATTTCTAAGCTAGCTATTTCACTTTCTTTTCTTGTTCATCCTTTTCTTTCTCCTGATGCTCAAAAGTTCTTACTTTTCTTCTTTCTCCTCTTCTTTATTCAGGCTTTTTACTCATTTTCTCTCTCTCTCTTTCTTTGTTTCTTTCTTTTATTCATTTTTTGTCTCTATTTCTAAAATATAAACTTTTCTCTCTTTTCTTTTTAAACCTTTTCTTTCTCCTGAGCACCAAAAACAGTTCCTACTTTCTTTTCTTCTTTATTAAGCTTTTTACTCATTTTCTCTCTCTCTCTCTCTGTTTCTTTCTTTTCTTCTTTATTAAGGCTTTTTACTCATTTTCTCTCTCTCTCTCTCTTTGTTTTTTTCTTTTCTTCTTTATTAAGGCTTTTTACTCACATGCACTCTTTATTTACATCATTTCTCTCTTTTTCTTCAGCACCTCATCATGTAGTAACTGTTAGCAAGGCTAGTCTGCTTGAATGTTACTACTCAGCTGTGAGTTCAATCCTCACTAGGTGTTCTATATAATATTCGACATTAAATAACCCAACAAGGGTTGATATGCCATAAACTGAACAATCATCAATCAGTGTGGAGTAATGGTTAACAAAGCTTGTCCGGTTAACCCTTTCGACTGAGTTGTGATTTTGATCCTCATAGGGTGTCCTATACAAAAAATTCAAGAAATAGCCCAACAAGGATTAACATTTCACTAGCTGCACCATACAAAAATTACAACATTAAATAACCCAACAAAGTACCCTATATAAAAATCAAAATTAAATAGTCCAACAAGGATTAACATTTCACTAGGTACCCTATACAAAAATTACATTAAACTGCCCAATATGGTATCCGAGACAAAGAAATCAACATTAAATAGTCCAACAAGGATTAACATTTCACTAAGTTCACCATACCAAAATTTCAACATTAAACTGTCCAGCAAGGAACCCTATACAAAAATGGTTAACAAAGCTTGTCTGTCTGTCTATATTTCTGAGATGAGGTATTATGTACATTATTTACATTATTCGGACTATTGTCCTCATCTTGCTGCTACATTTATTAGCAACGATTCGGCCTTCTTCAGGTGGCTGGAATTTCCTCATGACACATGGCACAGGGGATAAGGTGTTGTTAGATCCAGCGACAGGACCCAAAGAGGTGAGTTCAATACCGTTAAGGCAGTGGAGAACTTTCAGAGGGAAATTAATAGGAGATAACTAATAACTGACATCCATCAAACATGGCACATGGAACTAGAAACAGTCTACCCCAGTGAGCGAAATAAAGGGTTCAGTTCAGAAATTCCAATGACCTGAAGAAGGGCGGCCGCATAAACGCTGAAACGCTAGATAAATATGGCGACAAAGATGAGGGGACAATAGTCTGGCTAACCATTTCGAGTGAGTTGTGATTTTGATCCTCATAAGGTGTCCTATACAAAAAATTCAACAAGAAATAGCGCAACAAGGATTAACATTTCACTAGGTGCTCCATACAAAAATTACAACATTAAATAATCCAACAAAGTAACCTATACAAAAATCAAAATTAAATATTCCAAGGATTAATATTTCACTAGGTACCCTATACAAAAATTACATTAAACTGCCCAATATGGTACCCTATACAAAGAAATCAACATTAAATAGCCCAACAAGGATTAACATTTCACTATGTGCACCATACCAAAATTTCAACATTAAACTGTTTAACAAGGTACCCTATACAACAAAAAAATCAAAACTAAATAGACCAACACAGATTAGAATTTCACTCGGTGCCCCATACAAAAATTTCAACATTAAACTGCCAAACAAGGTACCCTATGCAAAAAAAAATTCAGCATCAACTATCTTAACCAGGGTTAACATTTCACTGGGTACCATATACAAAAATATTAACAATAAATAGTTCAACAAGGGTTAACATTTCATAAAAATCATCTACTTTTTTGTAGCAAATACAAGTGCCATCTGGAATAGTTATGCCTGTGAGAATTTTTCAACTCAATAATATTTTTCAATATAATAAACATCTTTGTTTGAATAAACATTCCACCAGGATTTTTTTTTTATATAAGCCTAATAAATATAAAATAAAATAATTGTGCCACGGAGAAAATTATTTGAAAAATAATAAGTTTGCCACACTTAATAAGTATCCTTCCAGGAGAGAAAGTTGAAGCTCATAAATTAATTGTGTCGGCACTTGTATTCTCTATGCAAGAGTAATCTCGTCTAACCTATGTCTTTCTTCTTTCTTTTTCATTCATTTAACCAAAACTATTTTCTATTTTACTTCTTTTTGCTGCTTATTTTTCTTTATTTATTTCTTTCCTTTTTTTATTTTTTGTTTTTCTCTTAACATTTTGCAACTCTTTATTACACTTTTTCTTTTTTTCCTTTCACCTCTTTCCGAGAGTCCGAACACATTGGCAGCTTCATCCAAATATACTGAAATCTTTTCCCCACCCCTGAAGTGTAATGTACAACAACATAACAGCCTCCACTGTCCCACTTTCTTTTTCTCTTTGTCTTTCACTCTTCATCCTCTTCCCACCTTTGAGATTTCCTTCTTTTCTACAAAACCTTTTACGGTCTGTAACTCTTTCTTCATATCTACTCTTCTGTTTTATCTCTCTTTCCTTGCCTCTCCTTTTCCAATATGTGATGCTGCCACCTTCATCGCACATACATTACTTCTCCTTCCTCCACCACCATACTCATCCTGCGACATAAACAGCATCACTGGTGTTACCCCTCTATGGCCAGTTCTGACCACTTGGATTCCCCTCAAGAAATCTGGCGTTTGCACCATCAACTCATATGGCTTGGTAAGATACCTTATCTATTTTTTGTCTTGCTACATTTTCTTTTTACTTCCAAAATACCCTAATTATCTGTGGAATTCATCCATTTCAACTTCCTTTCATAATTTATTTCCTCTCTCATTCATTATTCCTTTCTCTCCATCTCTCACGTGGTCCAGTGCTGGGCTGCATCTGTCTGTTGCTGTTCACAGACAATTTGCACCCATTAAGTTGCTTCATTTTCTTATGCAATATTTCAAAGATAAAACTTATTAATTGCTTTTTATTGGTATCAGTACCCTCTTCTTACATGTTTATTTAATCAAAAGAAGGAAACATTATTGTTACCATAAATCAGCTGTTCAAATAACTTACAAAAGCAGCAACTTGTAAGAAAGTCAGATGCGAGTTTCTTGTACAAGTTATATTCATATTCTGTAAATATATATTTAACACAGGTGAAGTAGAGCATTGGTTTTGTTATAATAATATAATAATTGTGCTTGTCAAATCCATTTGTTAGTTTGCACGACCATTACACCCAGCCAATACCTCATAAATAATGTAACATTCCATTTTGATTATGTAGAAAGACAAAAGATATATCAGAGATGCTACTTGGTTTCAATAAAAAAAAAGAAAGTTAGAAAGATAGTGTTTAACGTCTCCTGCTAATACCTCATAAATAATGGACTATTCCATTTTGATTGCATGAGAAGACAAAGATATATCAAAGATGCTAATTGGTTTCAGTGAGAAAATCAAAAAAAGAATGAAAGTAATGTTTAATGTTTGTTTCAGTGAAAGAGAGAAAGTTGTCAATTTCAAATCTTTTCATTTTTACCCTCTTACTTCTTAAAAATAATGACCAGCATTCATATTTATGATTGTTATTGCAATAATTTGTTAAAGTTGTTAAGCTCAAATATTTAACAATGCGATAGGGGAATTTCTATGGATATCTTGTCACAGAACTTGCCATGAGCTTATTCAACCATTAAGTGAAGAATTAAGATGCATACAAAATTTAAAATAGGAAAACCATGAAATTTTCACAGGTTAAAACTAGCTAAATATTAAATTCGTTATGCACTTTTATGCAACAAAGATCTATCAGAATGTAAACTTTCTCACCAAGTGTTGTGGCTTCCCTCTGTCTTTTCTACAAACATTTTCAACAAGCAATTGTTCTGATAAGCTTTCCTCCTTGGTACTTTAATTGCATGAGTTTAAGCATGCTAATTAATTAGGTATCGTCATTTTACTGTTGAGCTAGCTAGATGCAACTGTCTGTTTTACTCTAATATTTTAATTTCTCAAACTTCTGGCCTCTGGAATACCCTTCTGATTTCTTGCTTCAATGCCAACAACAATCTGCAAAAATTTAACTGCAACACCAACTGACATATATCTTCCTGAATTCTGTTCTTTTATTGCATTTCTCCTTATCTTTCACTCCCAGTAACCACTTGTGTCTTAGTAGCATTATTGCCTTGTCTGGGGTGAAATGATTTAAAAAAAAAGGTTAAAGTACTGGTTCATGAATTTAGTGGCATCAGGTAGTACATTTGAAACAGGACAAGCCAATACCAAGCAGTACTAAATAAAAACAAGATGAGATATCCCTAGGTTACGAACTGTTGAACAAGATCTATAGATAAAGAGTTTGTTCAAAATTACCTGAATATTACACAGATCAACAGACACATGAAGAAGGCTAATGATGGGAATATTCGGATAACAATGACAAATATGCAAACACTAGTCTGAATGTAAATAATATTTGCTAAGGTGAAAATGTATAGAAAGTGCTTTGATTGCTAGATCATTAATGGTAAATTTGCATCCAGGTTTTTACATTTCATCTATGTTGGCAAATCTTCTATTATCATAATTTGAAGTAGTTAATAATTAAAGTGATATAATCAAAAAGAAAAGCATAAGAAAACTGAATTAAATAGACATGCCCAGGAACTCTTAAAAAAAAGAAAAATGAAATTTAATATCTTCAGTATTTCCTTTCAGTACATAATTATAAACAATACCTGCATTTTTATATCTTTCCTGCTCTTCCTATACATATATAATTCCATCACGTGTCTTCTGATCTAGCACTAACCATCCAGTGGGGGAAAAAAACTGGTTGGTTACATTCAATGCCTCAAAAACCACTACTGTCTATCAAATCCTGAAATAATGCCAGTCATGATGAACAGCACTATGCTTTGAGAGAATATTGGGACCTTCAGCCTTCTTCAGGTGGTTGGAATGGGAAACTACCCCAGCGAGTGAAGTAAAGGGTTCAGTTCGACAATCCAATGACCTGAAGAAGGCCAGAGCATACATCGGCAGAAACGTTATGATAAATATGGCAACAAAGATGAGGACAATAGTCTGAATAATGTAAATAGTGTACATAACACCTCATCTCAGAAATATAGACAGAAACTGAATATTTCTTTATCAATAAACATTGAGACTGAATAATGTAAATAGTGTAGTCTGATGAAGTCCGTCTAAAGGATGAAACATGTTACACAGAACTTTTTTACACTTTGTCATTCATTTGCCTAACCATAAATTGATATATAAAGTTTGTTCTGTTCTATCGTATTTGTTTCTGTATATAATTTCAAAAGTGTTTTTATGTCAGTATTTTGAAGGTGAATAACATTGAGGAAAAGCTATTATTTAAATCAATCTATAATTTCTGCTGAAAAATATCCTGGATCATTTTGGTCCTTTCTTTCTTAATTTATATGTTTGTTAATTCTGAACACACACCTGTAGAGTATAAAGTCGCAGTTTCACACTGCTAAATATTGATGCTGTGGTTCCTGAAGCAAGTAGGTCTTTTTACAGAGTAGTGTTGCTAGCCCTACACCCAAATTTTCAATTCACAGCTGGTTTTTATCCTAGAGTGGTTACCAACCAGAACCAGAGAGTCCAGCCTGGCATGATATTAATTGCTAGTTGTGTGGAGAAGTGATAAATTCATACATTTTAAAGGTATTTGTGTGAAACCGAGAGCTGCAGACTCAACTAGAATTTGAAGGTGATATACCTGTTTCTATGCCAGCAACTGCTACGCTACCTGCACATCCAATAATTTATGTCTTTAGGTTTACATAAATAGTTATTGACAGGCATGAACTCATACAAACCTCGTTTTCTTTTTTAGTCATTTCACCCCAATCAAGAGTGGCATACCACTCTTCTTCACAAGTAAAGTTATGGTGTCTCCAAATGAATTTTTGAACTGGTCCAGTCTTTTTTATCAAATCATAAAATGAGAGTTGACCTAAATGGTCACCCTTCTAGATATTTCTATAATAATGCAGCTTTCCCCCTGAGCTATATCCTTGGTTCAACTTTGTTTCTAATTTTTATTATTGACCTATCTGATGACACCAGCTCTCAGCTTGGTATCTATGCTGATGACACAATCATTTTCTCCTGTCTTGATACTAAGCCTGATCAGTTTGATAAGGTCAAACTGGTGGATGATCTCAAAAATAACCTAGTCTGTTATTAACACAACAAGAATGGAATTCAAAATTTCAATGCCTCTAAAGACATAAACTGCTCTTAATCCTTCCAGAGACACAACATTGCCAGCCTATCAATACTCTGTCATTATTTCCATGGCAAAATTTCAGATTCAGAAAAATTTCTGGCTTTAATTTACCTGCAAGAGTTGATAAACTAGCCAAAAATGAATCAATCAAATTTCTATAACAGATTTGCGCATATGTCATGAAATAGCAATAAGAAATTTGAATCTGCTTTAAAATGGCATTGAGAGATTTTTATATACCATGAATGGTATTGAAAGATTTGTAGTTGCTTTAAAATGGAATTGAGAACTTTTGCATATGCTGCAAATGGCATTATTATTGATCTGCTTATAAAATCACAATGAGAGATGTGACCGCCATAAAATGATATTGAGATATTTTCTAAGCTGTAAAAATGGGATTGAATATTTATATATGCCATAAAATAACATTTAGAATTTGCATATGCCATAGAACAGTAATGAGAGAATTTGCATACCATACCATAAATTACAGATATTTTCATATACCATAAAATGATACTGAGAATTTTACATATGCCATAAATATTATTGAGAGATTTGCATATACTGTAAAAATAACAAACTTTCCATGATTGAAAAGTTTAATAAGATTAAACATTTTGGTAGTTGATTTTTCATAATGAGCATGTATATGAAAAAATCATTCAAACCATCTTTTTAAATCATTTCATACCATGCTTTATCTTTACAAAAGTTAGATTAAAAAAAAATGGAATTCTGCTGCCATATCTGGGCTGGAGATGCTCACTTTCTGGCCTTGGTGGATTCAAAATCCTTTATGCAATCTTGTGAGGGAAGATATTCTCTACTCTGTAGCTTCTTTCCCAGAAACACAACATTGCCAGCCTATCAATACTCTGTCATTATTTCCATGGCAAAATTTCAAATAAGCTCAGGTCTTCTAGTTGAGACATTTACAACTATGGCACATCAGGTTAATTACACAAAATCAAATCATCCTCATTTCCTCAGTATTCTAAATGTAAGGAGAAAGGTCCCATTCAGACAACTTCCCCCCAAATTGCTGTTTTGTAGAACAGACTCCCACATTGATGCTTCTCTAAACCTATATCTCTTCAAGTCAAGGATCAATTGTTATCTATTCTACTTATCCCCATGATCTTTGTTTTATATCTTCCTTCTTTCATTCATATAGCATATCTCATTGACTTTAAACATTTTAACAGTAACTCTCTCTACTTGACTAGCTCTTGAGTTTTGTATGGGTGAAAGTTTTGTAGTATAAAAGGTATAATGACACAATGATAAGCCAATAGGATAGCAATAGTTGGAATCCTGATGAAGTGTTAAATGAACAGGACAGCAAAGTCAGAATACTACAACAAGACATGAGGATCTATAATGTTTCTTACATTAAATAAAAGCATACAAAATTCAATTTTTTCCATTCAAGTTTTGTTATGCCCCCAAAATGTCTTATTCTATTTTTAATGATAAATTAACTTTTTGTTTAAATTCAATAAATAAATAATTATAGCATTCATCATCACCATCATCATCCTTCGACCCCCTATGATTGGTCAGAACTCCATTGACAATCTTTTCCACACTGTTCAGTCCTGTATTGCTGCCTCAAAATCCCAGTGTCCAACCCTGAGTCCTGAGCTATGGTGTCTGGGAGAAAGTTAATTTTATGGACTTTCAGAAGGATACC